CTGTAGCAGCCTCATATCTATAACTGATCCCACCCTCTCTAGCAGCCTCATATCTATAACTGATCCCCCGCTCTCTAGCAGCCTCATATCTATAACTGATCCCACCCTCTCTAGCAGCCTCATATCTATAACTGATCCCACCCTCTCTAGCAGCCTCATATCTATAACTGATCCCACCCTCTCTAGCAGCCTCATATCTATAACTGATCCCACCCTCTCTGATAGCAGCCTCATATCTATAACTGATCCCACCCTCTCTAGCAGCCTCATATCTATAACTGATCCCACCCTCTCTAGCAGCCTCATATCTATAACTGATCCCACCCTCTCTAGCAGCCTCATATCTATAACTGATCCCACCCTCTCTAGCAGCCTCATATCTATAACTGATCCCACCCTCTCTAGCAGCCTCATATCTATAACTGATCCCACCCTCTCTAGCAGCCTCATATCTATAACTGATCCCACCCTCTCTAGCAGCCTCATATCTATAACTGATCCCACCCTCTCTAGCAGCCTCATATCTATAACTGATCCCACCCTCTCTAGCAGCCTCATATCTATAACTGATCCCACCCTCTCTAGCAGCCTCATATCTATAACTGATCCCACCCTCTCTAGCAGCCTCATATCTATAACTGATCCCACCCTCTCTAGCAGCCTCATATCTATAACTGATCCCACCCTCTCTAGCAGCCTCATATCTATAACTGATCCCACCCTCTGTAGCAGCCTCATATCTATAACTGATCCCACCCTCTCTAGCAGCCTCATATCTATCTATCCCACCCTCTGCATCATATCTATAAAACTGATCCCACCCTCTCTAGCAGCCTCATATCTATAACTGATCCCACCCTCTGTAGCAGCCTCATATCTATAACTGATCCCACCCTCTCTAGCAGCCTCATATCTATAACTGATCCCCACCCTCTCTAGCAGCCTCATATCTATAACTGATCCCACCCTCTCTAGCAGCCTCATATCTATAACTGATCCCACCCTCTCTAGCAGCCTCATATCTATAACTGATCCCACCCTCTCTAGCAGCCTCATATCTATAACTGATCCCACCCTCTCTAGCAGCCTCATATCTATAACTGATCCCACCCTCTCTAGCAGCCTCATATCTATAACTGATCCCACCCTCTCTAGCAGCCCATATCTATAACTGATCCCACCCTCTCTAGCAGCCTCATATCTATAACTGATCCCACCCTCTCTAGCCCTCTCTAGATCCCACCCTCTCTAGCAGCCTCATATCTATAACTGATCCCACCCTCTCTAGCAGCCTCATATCTATAACTGATCCCACCCTCTCCAGCCTCATATCTCTCCACCCTCTCTAGCAGCCTCATATCTATAACTGATCCCACCCTCTCTAGCAGCCTCATATCTATAACTGATCCCACCCTCTCTAGCAGCCTCATATCTATAACTGATCCCCACCCTCTCTAGCAGCCTCATATCTATAACTGATCCCACCCTCTCTAGCAGCCTCATATCTATAACTGATCCCACCCTCTCTAGCAGCCTCATATCTATAACTGATCCCACCCTCTCTAGCAGCCTATAATATCTATAAACTGATCCCACCCTCTCTAGCAGCCTCATATCTATAACTGATCCCACCCTCTCTAGCAGCCTCATATCTATAACTGATAACTGCCTCATATCCCATCCCACCCTCTCTAGCAGCCTCATATCTATAACTGATCCCACCCTCTCTAGCAGCCTCATATCTATAACTGATCCCACCCTCTCTAGCAGCCTCATATCTATAACTGATCCCACCCTCTCTAGCAGCCTCATATCTATAACTGATCCCACCCTCTCTAGCAGCCTCATATCTATAACTGATCCCACCCTCTGTAGCAGCCTCATATCTATAACTGATCCCACCCTCTCTAGCAGCCTCATATCTATAACTGATCCCACCCTCTGTAGCAGCCTCATATCTATAACTGATCCCACCCTCTCTGTAGCAGCCTCATATCTATAACTGATCCCACCCTCTCTAGCAGCCTCATATCTATAACTGATCCCAGCCCCTCTAACTGATCCCAGCCTCTCAGCAGCCTCATATCTATAACTGATCCCACCCTCTCTAGCAGCCTCATATCTATAACTGATCCCACCCTCTGTAGCAGCCTCATATCTATAACTGATCCCACCCTCTCTAGCAGCCCATATCTATATCTGATCCCAACTGAGCCCTCATATCTCTATAACTGATCCCACCCTCTCTAGCAGCCTCATATCTATAGCAGCCTCATATCTATAACTGATCCCACCCTCTGTAGCAGCCTCATATCTATAACTGATCCCACCCTCTCTAGCAGCCTCATATCTATAACTGATCCCCACCCTCTCTAGCAGCCTCATATCAGCCTCATATCTATAACTGATCCCACCCTCTCTAGCAGCCTCATATCTATAATGAACTGCAGCCTCATATCTATAACATCCCACCCTCTCTAGCAGCCTCATATCTATAACTGATCCCACCCTCTCTAGCAGCCTCATATCTATAACTGATCCCACCCTCTCTAGCAGCCTCATATCTATAACTGATCCCCCCCTCTCTAGCAGCCTCATATCTATAACTGATCCCTCCTCTGTAGCAACCTCATATCTATAACTGATCCCACCCTCTCTATCAGCCTCATATCTATAACTGATCCCACCCTCTCTAGCAGCCTCATATCTATAACTGATCCCACCCTCTCTAGCAGCCTCATATCTATAACTGATCCCACCCTCTCTAGCAGCCTCATATCTATAACTGATCCCACCCTCTCTAGCAGCCTCATATCTATAACTGATCCCACCCTCTCTAGCAGCCTCATATCTATAACTGATCCCACCCTCTCTAGCAGCCTCATATCTATAACTGCAGCCTCATATCTATCTATAACTGATCCCACCCTCTCTAGCAGCCTCATATCTATAACTGATCCCACCCTCTCTAGCAGCCTCATATCTATATCTCTAGCAGCCTCATATCTAATCCCACCCTGTCTAGCAGCCTTATATCTATAACTGATCCCACCCTCTCTATCAGCCTCATATCTATAACTGATCCCACCCTGTCTAGCAGCCTTATATCTATAACTGATCCCACCCTCTCTAGCAGCCTCATATCTATAACTGATCCCACCCTCTCTAGCAGCCCCATATCTATAACTGATCCCACCCTCTCTAGCAGCCCCATATCTATAACTGATCCCACCCTCTCTAGCAGCCCCATATCTATAACTGATCCCACCCTCTCTAGCAGCCCCATATCTATAACTGATCCCACCCTCTCTAGCAGCCTCATATCTATAACTGATCCTACCCTCTCTAGCATACAGGATATACTCTCCCCTACCCCAGACACAAGCATGCTCCTCAGTAAATGAGCCTCATCTATCTTCTATCTTGCACTTCTGTGTTCTACTTTTCAAGGCCTCACCCTCCTCTGAAGACGCAACCAGTTATCTACACTTCTGCTGTTAGCCCTGATATGTTTGGCTAAGTTATTTATAATACTTTCACGTGGATAGTTATATTTCAGTAGTTTATCCCTCCCCCCTTCCCACCCCCACCCCACCCTTTCTTTCCTTTCTTTGAAGAAACAGGTCAAAAAGTTCACTTTAATGGCTTCCAAGTCAACCCGGCCTTACATGAGTACCAGGTAAAGTCCTGAGCATAAAAGCGGTCGCATCAGCCACCCATATATATATAGATCTCGCACTCTATGCCCCATAGGCCTTAAGGTGTCAAAAAGGGTACTTTACCTTATTTTTACTCCAGACGTCAACACAATCATTTTACAGAAAGCAGTTTGAGGTTGTTGTTCAATGCTTAGAAGGAGGGGCTGTCATCATCATCACCATCATCATCATCATTATGTAGCATGTCATTTGCAGAACGTCGCTCTCATCAGAGTCTGAATGACCGAAACCCGATCTCCCTACAGTTCTTCCACCTCGTGCGCATTTCATACCCAAGCTTTCACTTATACCCTGTGCTTATCTTCGTACGGGTATGACCCTGTCCTCTTTACCTGTACCCGGCTGTCTGCTATTACCCCCCCCCCCCCCCCCCCCCCCCCCCCCACACACACCCACGCAATGGCGCTTGATATGGCCAAAATATTTTAGTTTTCAGAGCGGATATAGGCGAGAATAACTCGCTTCTGTAATACAGATGTTGGACTGTCTTACGTAGACTGTCAGCTGTCATTTTATCAGCTCAGCAGTTACATTTGTTATTTGTAGAAAAGGAATGAAAAATTAAACAATGTGCGTTTTCGCAATATAATCCAGTCTGGGTTTGTCGATTGTGCTGTCTTGTAAATATTGTAGCCTAGTCAGTCTGACAATGACCTGGAGATCTTGTATCAAATGCCGAATAGCAAATACACATACAAACACTGAGGTGTTGTAAAGAGCAGGTAACACAACAGTTTGCTCAAAGCTCAGTCTTTCAAGACTTAGATGGCTAGGGTACACTTGCGAGATGGAGGATGGTAGAGCTCCTTGGGTCATCCTTTATGGTGAATTAAAGATGGATAGAAGATGTCAAGTCGGCCTCTACTATGATATAAAGGGGGATGCAAGCGTGACATGAATGATATAGGTATTGAGATGGACTCAAGTGAACTGGATGCCACGAATAGTGGTACATGGAAGGGGACAACCAAATAGGGAATAAAAGAAAAGAAGAGAAACAAAATGACCGCAGGTAGCCTAAAGGTTAGGAAAGTATGTGATGACAACCATGGTGCTGAAATCCTATGCTCTAACAGTGGGAGGCTTTTGTTTACGCGAGAGGGTCTTGCTTGTCCCACTCGCCATCTCCATGAGCTACGGTCCTCATGCTTTCCCCCTAGCACAGTATAACACTGACGTCTAGAAAGACGGAAAGGTGTCATAGATAGTTCATCTGGCAGAGCTAGGACAGTAGCAATCACACAGTTCTCAAACAACTTCCAGACGACACGGTTTTCAAACAACCTGCAGACGACAAGGTTCTCAAACAACTTCCAGGCATACAGTACTCACCATGATAGTTGGCCTTGGATGTGCCCCGAACAATGTGCTTGAATTCCCTGTCTACATCTGGGTCATGAACTTTGATGAGGATGTACTTGAACTTGCCACTTTTATCGATTTCCACGTCTGGTATGGAGATCAGCTTGGGATTTTTGTAAGACGTCGCCGACGACATTTGAGACGCCATTTCTGGAGCGATGAAGACAGACGCCTAAACCTTGTGCAGGAAAACAGACGGGCATACAATAAAAAATAAAATTTGGGAGCTGATTTACTGATTTGCCCATTTAAGAATCAGCATCATAACATACCAAAAATCTATGATTAAAATGGCCAAACGTCCCCGATTTTCTAAGAACAGTCTCGGACCTTGTGTCCTCGATTAATTTTTATTGCTCAATTTAGGAGAAAATGGCCACTTCATAGATGATCCGTCCCCTGTAGCTCTTTTTCTTCTTCTTAGCGTTCGGGTTTGTATGCTCGAATCAGACCATCAAGTGGGTTGCCTCTATAAACTCGCATGTCAGCAGCAGGTCCTTCATGGCTCCCTATAGCTCGCTGTCCACACTTTGCTCTTTAGGCCAGGTGTCTTTTCGAAGTTGTAGGTAGAGTGGGCAGGTCTGCAGAATGTGCTCAGGTGTTTGTGGTCCTGTTAGACAGGCACACTGGGGAATGTACAGTCTTTATTTCATACAAGTGGTAGCTGAGCCTGTAGTGTCCTGTTCTTATGCGGAAAACTGTTGTATTTTGCTTTCTGTTGAGTCTGCTAATGAGGTCTCGTGGATGCTTATAGTTGGTTGGTTCTCTGCACATTTTCCTTTTTTTTTTTTTCGCTTGAAGAGTGTTTTGATTTTCTGCTAACGACAATGAATGGGTGTGTTTCTCTTTTGTTTTATCGGGTTTTTTATTTTTTATTTTATTTTTCTGTTGGCAAGTCTGTCTGCTAACTCATTTCCTGGTGTGCCGCATTGAGCCGGGATCTACTGGAGAACGTATCTGATTTTTTTCTGTGAGTTTGTTTGACTGACGGGTCAGTTCTCTATCCATGTTGTCTCGTGGATCCTTCTGAGTCCCCTGGAGGACTGACATGCAGTCACAAAGGAAAACCATTTTGCTGTTTTTAATTTGTCTTTCCTCAAGCACTTTGGCTGAATCAATCATTGCTTGCTGGTCTGAAGTTTGTTGAGAGTCTTCCGGAGGCGCATGACGTTTCTACTGTGGACCCATCTTGCAGCATGATGACTGATTCAGGTCCTCCGTGTTTTCTGCTCCCTCCATTTATCAATCGGTGTACACGTGTGCCCATTCGGGTTTTGGGTAAGAGTTGTAGACATGTGCAAGGGTCTTTGCATGCAGTACTAGGTCACATTCTTCAGCCTTTCTCTCTATGCCTGGAATTGTTGTGACTGTATAAGTTAGGCTGCAGGTCTATGGTGTATAACTGTCTCATTTCACACGTTGAAGGATCTTTAGAAAGGATGTCACTGTTTTGTGTGTAGTACAGTTTTGATAGATGGTGGAGACTTTGTCTTTTATCGGTTTTTAGTTAATTGTTTGCTATTTTATGCTTGAGTTTGTTGTTCGTATTTGAAACGTTTTCTATATGGGCAAGCACTTTTCTTCCCTTCGTCTGTTCAGGCTCAGGAGACCAGAAGTTGCCTTCAGCTCATTGACGTGTGCTTCTCATAAATCCTGTGATGAATCTGAGACCAGTGTGCTTTATTTTGTCTAGTTTGTAAAGGTTTTATTTGGCTGAAGTGGAGTATGCTACCATGCCATACTCCGTTTTGGTCGTACATATACTGTGTATACCTGTCGTACAGTGTTGGCATCTGCACTCCATCTGTCCGCCTCTTCATTTCCCAAGACACTGGCATCCCTGTGTGGATATTCAGTCATTAATTCAAAAAACAAAAAGTTCGCTTAGTGGATGTGATTGTTTACACAGACGGTTTCATGTACAGTGGCAAAAAGAAGTGCATGGGAGATTTTAGCGAAAGCTAATGTTCGAAGTTCGGTGCAGGAGAGCCTAGCATGTGATACAACATCTAGCTTAAGAATGGAGGTGGAGGCGATCACTGCAGCTTTCCACTGGCTAGAGAACACGACAACACAAACATCGTGATTGTAAATGGCTCAGAAAGCATGCCGTGGAAGGTGAGGATAGACATGCTTCGTGCAGAGTGGCATGCTTCGCTTCGGAGGTCACGGGTGAGGAGCATCTGCTGGCCACTGTCTGCACAGGGAACCATGTCATTTTTTTTTTTTAGGTTTCACTGTTAACTTTATTATTACATCAGTGTGTGGGTGTCTCACAAGATGGTGCAGGTATACATGCTCTCGGACCTAGATCCTTGGTGTTCAGGATCAACACTCCCTTCTGCTCTACATCACAACTAGACCACCCAGCATAAATTCTCCCAGTCTGCCTCTTCGGCCGGTGACTTCTCTAATTCCCACGATGTTCTCTACTGCCTATCATTCAAATTCAATTAAGAAAAAACACTTTCTAACTCAAATTCTTCAGAAAAAGTTTTGCTGTGTCTAAGCTTTTTCTGTTTGTTTACATTACTATTTTTCTGCTGGTGCTTCGTCCTTGTCTCCCTTGTGTAGATCAACTGGGAGTTGTGTTTGGACACCAAGTGAATCAACCCTTTTGAATGTAATTCTCTCAGTGCCTGCTTGGCCAATGAGCCCCTGACTTTTAACCTTTCAGACACCACAGAAGGAGTAATCAGCTTGTAGCTGGGCACCTCCTTGTACAGCTTGTCGTAAGTGGCCTTGTCGAAGAGGATCAAGTTGTTAAGCTTGTCACGAACTTTGCCCTTTGACCACTTCTTCTTTTTATTTTTCCCGCCAGAGACTTCCTTCTTGGGTTTTCCAGCCACTGGCTTGGCAGCCTTGGCTGAGTTTGCATCAGCTGTCTTTTTTGCTCTCATGCTGCGATCCGCGTTGGAGAATTAAGAAAGGGAACCATGTCATTTAGACATTATGGCAGCACATCAAGAGATCGACCATGCAAGCGACGGACAGATGATACCTCTTGAAAACATGACTCTGAAAGGCACACCAGGGCAAGAAAAGAACAAGACCCTTGTCTGCTGCTAGCTGATATACAAGACAAGACAACTCACAACTCAACGTTTAACATTAGGGAGAGGTTTGATGATAAGCTACAGACCGACCCTGTTAACTTTCTAGTTCGTCTGCAGATTAGCAAGACAAGAGTCATAACTATATAGATCTGATTACTTTGGGGGGCAGTTGTTTCCCTTGAATCGATAGGTGAAACAGACAATGTAAGACAAGAACTGAAACAACATTTAACTGTGGTGAAAGATAGACAGAAAACTAAAAATAAATTACACAGTTACTAGTCTTGAGGCCGTACAAATAGTGCAGGAATGTAAGGACATGTTAATATTCTAGCAACTCAAGTGCACAAGTAGTAGTGCGAATATGTTGGATGCAACAATGTCGAGAGACCGACTGATATTCTGCCAGATCAGCTTGAACTATTTATTGAGTGAAAAGTGGTGCCAATACTTGGACTTTCTACTGTTTAAGTTACTCCGCTGAGAGAAGTATGTGAACCAGGAATTCACCATCATCATCATTAGCTTTTTTATAATAGGCATCAAAGCGCGGGCAGTCATACCTCTTCACAACCTGCAAATTCTAACCATTTGTATCAGTTAATTATAATACTAATAGATTCTGGCCATAGACGAGTGGTACTTTGGCTCCACACTGGAAGAAATCAGTTCAACAAGCAGAGGTAATAAACATTTCTACATTAAAAGATAAAGAAGTTGCCGAGGAAATAGATAGAGCAGTCAGAATCTCTTTCGACACCCTTACTTTGGATATATTTTTTGTGTCCGTTTAAACAGAAGTGATGTTCATTTAAATTCTCCAAAACGTTACATCAAATTAAATAGTCTAATGTGAAAACAGGTCGGTACGTTTATATGTTTACGTACCAGCAAAACATGAGATGGGTGGTTTGTTGAAACAGGTAAATGTAGACAAACTCAAGAGAAGCAGTGTTTCAAAGGTTGAAAAGTATTCAGAAGAAGAAGAAGAAGAAAAAGAAAAAGAAGAAGAAGAAGAAGAAGAAGAAGAAGAAGAAGAAGAAGAAGAAGAAGAAGAAGAAGAAGAAGAAGAAGAAGAAGAAGAAGAAGAAGAAGAAGAAGAAGAAGAAGAAGAAGAAGAAGAAGAAAAATGTGATCATGATTATGATGAAACAGAAGAACAAAAAGTGGAAAAGAAGAAGAAGATGGAAAATTACAGAGATGCTTTATAGAAAACATAATGAGAACCACATAGACAGATTAAAAGCAAAATGAAGATTTAATGAGGCTCTTTATCTCACACAGAAAACTATTTAACCGCGTCAGAGGACGGTAATTCGCATTTATAGGTACATCATTAGAAGGGAAATGTCGGGACAGCGAGAAATGTCAAGGAGGAGAGAGGAGAGGGAAATCAAGAGAAAAGATGAACTTCTCAAAGTCCAAACATGCGGCGTTGATAGTCATGAATGCCCACAACTATCTATCTATCTCGTGTACTTCCAATCAACTCTGCCACAGATGATCTTTCCTGCCAGGATGTCAGACTGTCCAGCGTCTTCTCTCTCGGTCTCCCTCTGCCTCTCCTGCCCTTGAACTTTCCTACCGTCACGATGTACTCCAGTTTTCTCCATCTCATGACTAGACCAAAGAATGTCGATTGGCTCTTTCTGATGTGGACAATCAGTTCTCTTTGTGAGCCCTTTTTTTCATGACGTCTGCATTATTCTTTTTACTGTCCAGCGTATTGTCATCATTTGTCTATAAAACCACACCTCTGCAGCTTCTAAATAATGTTTCATTAATTGACCAACTATCTATGATTCACTTCCATATATCAGTATATAAATTATACAGTTTTTATGAATGCTATTTCTCGTCTCAATTAACATAGAAACATTGCATAGAAACATTGCATAGAAACATTGCATAGAAACATTGCATAGAAACATTGCATAGAAACATTGCATAGAAACATTGCATAGAATAATTTTTCTTACAATGCAGCCTTTACTTAAAAGCATCCTAAGGCTCGCCGTGCTAGTTAGAAGTTGAGGGTTTTTTTTCCCTACCACCCTCACCCCACCCCATTTTTTCAGCGCCGTTGGCTGGGATATTCAATCAGCTGTTGCTACTACCACTACTACAACCACTACTACTACAACCACTACTACAACCACTACTACTACTACCACTACTACTACAACCCCTACTACTACTACCACTACTACTACAACCCCTACTACTACTACCACTACTACAACCACTACTACTACTACCACTACTACAACCACTATTACTACTACCACTAATACTACTACTACTACCACCACTATTCCTGCTACTACTACTACTACTATTACCACTACTACTACTATTACTACTACTACTACGACTACTAATACTACCACCACTACCACTACTACTACTACTACCACTAATACTACTCCTACTAACACCACTACTACTACTACTACTACTACTACTACTACTACTCTTACTAACACCACTACTACTACTGCTACCACCACCACCATAATTACTGTTACTATTATTCTATGACAAACCCACCACTGCACTTATCGCTACAAGAACATGAAACAACTGTTGCTACTTCAAACACTACAATAATTACTACAGATATTACTACAACTGAATACAGCGAAAGCGATTAAAACATCATGTAGTCTACAACAACAACAAATAATGAGGACATATTTTCACCTGTAACTACAGTTGAAAGTTTACAGGTAAGAACTCTCTGGCAATAACTGCCCGGAGCTCACCTCTACGTCACACACGATATTCTGGAGAAAACAGAGATGGCTACATGGAGACAGAATCAGGGGTGAGCGGGGTTAGGGAGATAGAGACAGAGAGAGAGAGAGAGAGAGAGAGAGAGAGAGAGAGAGGGAGAGAGAGAGAGACAGAGAGAGACACAGAGAGAGAGACACAGAGAGAGAGAGAGAGAGAGAGGGGGGGGGAGAGAGAGAAACCATCGCTATGTTCCAAACATTATCTCACAAACTCGTCAAGAGAAAACCTCACAATTCTAGAGTAGATAAATTTGTTCTGAGATTTGTGGAAAGTTGGCGCACCAACTGGGTACCTGTGTGTGAATAACTGTTGATTTAATGGCGAGTAGGAGTGTGAAACAATTTCTAGACTAGGTCATGAATTTGTGTTGTGAGGTGATCAACTTTCGCACATCTCTGCACTCTCAAGTACTTGCTTTTGTACTTAACCAAGAATAAAAATAAAAAGCTCCAATCCAAGCAGAAGAAAATAGAGAGCGTTGTATTACCAGAATCATTCCTAAAATAATAATAATTTTAATAATTAATAAAAAAAAATAATATGTTTATACAAATACTGTAGTTGCTTTTGTTGTTGTTGTTGCAGTAAGTATAGCCTTAATTGTAATAATGGTGATGGTCACAGCAAAGAGAGGCTGTTGCAGTGGTGGTACTTCCGGTCAAACTAGTAATTGTTGTTGTTGCCATATCCGCGTATATAATGAAAGAAATTATTGTTATGATGCTGTGCTAGTAAATGCCTAAGATAACAGCAGCAATACAAGAAAATGATAAAGAGTAGGAGGAGTGGTGGAGGAGGGAAAGAAAAAGAAAAAGAAGAAGAAGAAGAAGAAGAAGAAGAAGAAGAAGAAGAAGAAAGAAGAAGAAGAAGAAGAGAAGAAGAAGAAGAAGAAGAAGAAGAAGAAGAAGAAGAAGAAGAAGAAGAAGAAGAAAAGAAGAAGAAGAAGAAGAAAAAGAGATGAAGAAAAAGAGGAAGAAGAGAAGAAGAAGAAGAAGAAGAAGAAGAAGAAGAAGAAGAAGAAGAAGAAGAAGAAGAAGAAGAAGAAGAAGAAGAAGAAGGAGAAGAAGAAGAAGAAGAAAAGAAGACCAAGAACGACAGGAACAAGAATGGGAGGGGGCAAACATAAAGAACCAGAATAAGAACAAAAATAAGAAGTAAAAGAGCCAAAAACGAAGACAGTAATAAATGCAAAACCAATAGGGCTACGGACATAACAAGTGAAAGAAATGAGGCAGTCGAATTCCATCCACTTTCACACTCAAAAAGATTCTTTAAAAAAAAAAACACACAAGGAGATTTCAGATTCAGGAAACATTTCGCACTCACAAAGACTTATTCAGAAAACAGCCAAGGAGACTTTACACCTGGAACTTGCCTGATGGCAATTGCAAGAAGCAAATTGACTTCATCTTATCACAACAAAGATGGAGGAAAGGTGTAATGAAAAAGTATAACATCCACAAAGACGATCGAGGGAGCAGCCTGCATTACGGATCATCAATTACTTGTCGCAGACTTCAAGATAAAACTGTGGAAGTGATGCAGTAAGCACGACCAATGCGGATCGACCTAAGCGAAATAA